GGTGGTTCCTGACAAACTCAGGACGAGAGTGTTAGAGTCGCTGCACGAGGGTCACCCCGGTATGGTACACACCAAAGCGTTGGCCAGAGGGTATGTCTGGTGGCCGGGGCTGGACAAAGAGATCGAAGAATGGGTACGAGGGTGTCCCAAATGCCAGCAAGTCAGACCCGATCCCCCACAAGCTACACCCCAAGGCTGGGAGTCATCTGGTAAACCCTGGGCCAGATTGCATATAGATTTTGCTGGCCCTCTCCAAGGGCAAATGTTCCTAATTGTGGTGGACGCTATGTCCAAATGGCTGGAGGTCGTGCATATGAAATCGACCACATCACTTGCTGTGATCCATGCGCTCCGCCGACTTTTTGCCACCCACGGGTTGCCTGACGTCATCGTCAGTGACAACGGGCCTCAATTTGTGTCTGAGGAATTTAGGCTCTTCCTCACGAGTAATGGCATACGCCAAATGACTTCGGCCCCTTTCCATCCGGCATCTAATGGCCAAGCCGAACGGATGGTCAGGACGGCCAAAGAGGCCCTGGGTAAAATGGACGAAGGGGACTGGAGCCAGAGGCTGGGCTCCTTTCTTTTGCTGCAGCACACCACCCCCTGTAGTGCTACAGGCCGTAGTCCGGCCGAATTGTTAATGGGGCGGAGACTCACGACCCGTTTGAACCGAATGCACCCAGACCTCACTGAAGAGCAATCCGAGCGTACCACGGCGCAACCGAAGGTGCGCATGTTTGAAAAAGGGGACAAGGTTTTCGCACGAAATTATGCAAACGGGCACTTGTGGCTTCCTGGGGTTATATCCGACTCTGTGGGTACTCGAATGTATGTGGTGCAGTTAGCTGACGGTCGAATATGGCGGCGCCACATAGATCAGTTAAGGAGACGTTGGGCTAGGGACAGCGCTGACTCTCCGACGGCTGAATCCCCTGATGTCGAGTGGACACCCCCAGAGCAGGCGGTGAGTACCGAAAGGCCCGGTACTGTCCCCGAGTCAGGGCAGAACCCTGTGTGCGGGGCTGAAATCCCAGTCGAGTCTGTGCCTGATCCAGGCTGTAGTGAACCCTACTCTGACCCACAACCTTGTCTGCCCGTGGAGCCTGCACCGCTCCGCAGGTCCCAGCGTTCGCGGCAAATGCCGACTTATCTGAAGGACTATGAGTGTAAATACTGTTGGAATAACTGATGTACAAAGGTTGATTGCATGTATGTAAATAATAAAACAATTGGGATGATGGCTTAACTTAGGGGGGAGGAATTGTAATGTATTGAAATGATTACATGAAGCACCTCATAGGACTCCCATGTTAAGCTTCGAGCCAGACCAGGGCTCCTCTGAGCGAACTTCCTATTGGTCGCTTCGTAACAGCGACCAATCAGAACGATACCATTCCCTAGGAGGGAAAGACTCCCATTGGTCTTTATTCTAGCAATCTCATTGGTTGTTATTTGTAAATAGGCGTGGCTACATTAGCCCGGTTATGTTTAAATAGAGCATAAGCTCCCACTGTTTTCTGTTCTGGTTTCTTACTGAGTTAGTGCTTGTTCGTTACTTCTAAATAAAGCTGAATCACTTGCTGAATCACTCTAAGAGTCCTTTGTTAGCGCGATCTAACAAGTTAGTCAACAGTAGTCAGTCAGTGGCCTATTTCCCCATGACTCAAGCAGCCAATCTTTCACCCCCACAACCTGGGTCTTACGTGTGGGGACATGAGGGCCCCCCGAAGGGGTCATGGTCATGGGCATGGGCAGGTGGGAACACAGGCTACACTGACCACAGGTGGTGGGATATGACTGTGTTCTCCCACACCGGTGCCCACCTGCTCGGGCACTTCGTCAGCAGCCTGAATGTCAGTTTCCCCTGCAGCATCCACGGGGTTGGTCTTGGTCACCAGATGATAGCCCTCCCTGGTTCCAGGTGGGCTGTGGGGGCAAAGTACACATGAGAGGGAGGAGACCGCCATCGCTAGTGGCAAGGGTGGTGACGATGGCCAAAGCGTGTCATCCTGTTCCGTGCCCAGAGACTCTTGGCTGCGATTGCCTGCCTGTCCCTCAACTGCCGGTACACACCCCCCTCCATCAGTCCAGGATCTGAATCCAGGAAACAGTTATGTCTGAAAAGTGCCCCGCTGATGGACATGGGGGCACAGATGCAGTCTGCTGCGTGGAAGTACTTCCGCATCCCACCCAGTGATCCCTTTGTGGTGGAGTGCCAGGTGTGCAGGGTACATGTTCATCGGGGGAGAGATCTGCGTAACTTAACCACTAGCCCTACCACCTGCTCCCTTGAGCTGTGCCCTTCATGGCTAATTAAAGCTGGCCACAAGGGGTTTTGAGGTGCCTTGCGGGAGATCATCAACAAGTCCCTCTCGGAGGGACTGTTCCCCAAGGAAGCAGTGGTCCATCCTCTCCTTGAAAAGCCATCTTTAGACCCAGCCAAATTGGCCAACTACTGGCCAATCTCTAACTATTTGGGCAAGATGATAGAGAGGGCAGTGGCGGTTCAGGTACAGGGCTTTTTGGATGACACTTCCATTTTAGATCCCTTCCAGTCCAGCTTTTGCCCAGGCCATGGGACGGAGATGGCACTGGTAGCCCTCATGGATGACCTCCAGAGGCACCTGGATCGAGGCAGATCAGTGGTGCTGTTGTTGTTAGACCTGTCAGCAGCATTCGACATGGTCGACCATCAGCTACTGATCCACCGCCTCACCGACACTGGAATTCAGGGCCTGGCCTTGCAGTGGCTTGCCTCCTTTCTCCAAGGTCAGGGACAAAGGGTGACGCTAGGGGAACAGCTATCCCAGAGGCACCCACAAGCACTACAACACAATAAACAAATTCCTTCAAATCATTAGAAAATCCTTTGTGACACCAGGGATCCATCAGAAGCTTAGCAGCGTATTTGAGCCTGAATACTTGAGATCAGCGTCCTAGTTAAACATAATATCTTTCCTGATTTTTTGTAAAGCACTTTATGAGCATGAGAGCTTTTGTACTACTCTGTAGAATATTTCCTGAGGAAGATCCAATGTTGAAACGTTGTTATGTAATCCGGAGACAACATTGATGTATTTTTACACAAAGGATTTTCTTATGATTTGAAGGAATTTGTGCATTGTGTTGTAGTGCTTGTTGACAATAATATACAGAAAATATTTTCTTTGCAAGTCTTGTTGACTGCCTGATTTGTGGGTCAGACTCTTTTGTGGGTCAGACTCATTTGCTCTTTGGTACCAGGGTTGCCAGCCTCCAGGAGGGGCCTGGGGATCTCCCGCTTTTGCAGCTGATCTCCAGCTGACAGAGATCAGCTCCCCTGGAGAAAATGGCTGCTCTGTGGCCTTGTACCTTGCTGAGGCCTCTCCCCTCCCCTCCCCAAACCCCGCCCTCTCCCGGCTCCACCTCCAACGTCTCCAGGCATTTTCCATCCCAGACCTGGCAACCCTACTTGGTACCCAGCAGTTGGATGAATGGGATCTGCTCATCTGAGGCCAGGTGACAGTTGAGAGACCCTTCCCAGTGGCAGCAGAGGTGATGGGAGAAACCTCACGCTTCCTGTGGTCCCAGCTGCGGCTTGCTGCTGCCTCTTCTACTCACGCTTGTCATCTTTCCTTCTGCAGTGTAACTGAGTGTGCACGAAGTCTGTGAGGGGCGGGGCCAGGTGAAGATGACAGGACCATCAGGTCAATGAACAGGACTTAGCTCTCTCTTTCTCAAGGTTTTGGTCACACGAGAATGTGATGGGAGAGTGGGACTGAGCTGGATTCAACATCATGAGAGAGATTTCGAGTCCTTAAGGCTCAGGGCCAGTGAAGGCTGCCTTCACACACAAGGACAGGAAAAGCCACCCCCACCTCCCCCACCCCCATGCAAGCAACAGCTACCAGGACTAAGGTGCACAGGGACAGCCTTCGCATGCCCCTCCCCCAGCAGCTGAGCCATGGGGCTGAGGCTTTTCTTTAAAGCCCCGTTTAAGAGCTGAAGGGGGCACCAAGTACGGTTTCCAGCCGTAGGTGGCAACCTTGTGGGAGCATTGGGGGTGGGGCAATTTCTTCCGTTGTGCTGACATGACATAGGGTTGCCAAGTCTTACCTGCTGCTGGAGCGGGGGGCTCCTGGCTTGCTTCTGGAGTGAGCGAGTGCGAAGCGCAAGTGCGCCACAACCCCGTCACCCGGAAGTGACGCGACCACGCCAGGCACGCTGGGGGCAGGGCCATGACCATCCGAGGGAAAACCATAGAGTTTTTCCTCGGATGACCGTGGCCCCGCCCCCAGCATGCCCAGTGCGGTCACGTCACTTCCGGGTGACGTGCAGGTCGCGTACTTTGGGGGTGGGGTTCCCCCGGGGCCCGATCCACTGGCGGTGAGGAACAGGCCCCCCAGGGGAACTTGGCAAGCCTAACATGACACCACTTTTGGTAGAAAGCCAGAAATGACATCTTCACATCAGGGCAATACTCTAGGATTTACCCAAAGTTCTGTCGTTAAGTCTTTGCACCAGAAAGAATGCTGTGCATTGGCACGAAGCCAAAGATCCCCCCCATTCCCCCCCCCAGCCTGTTGGCACGATGGCAAGGACAGGGAGGCCTGGGCTAGGAAGTCTCTCCCCCCCCCCCCATGTTAAACTCTGTCCACTTTCTGGGTGGGCTTCAGGCAGAGGTTTCATTTGCCTGCAGCTCACATGCCGCTTCCCCTTCATGTTGGACCAAAGAAGGTTTTTCTTTGTTCCACCTTACAAGGGAAATCCCAGGGGCCTTGCTCAGAAAGAATTGGGTGGAAAATCCCGACTAGAGCAGGGGCCTTCTGTGTGCCACCCAGGGTAAAACCCCTGCGTGAACAGCCAATGTCTCTTTCCTTGCCCTCGTTCTTTGTGTGCAGAAAATCAATAGCCGAGCAAAACTTTGTATGTGGATTGCTAAATTAAGATACTCAGATTAAACACCACCAACATTTAAAACTCACTGGCTCTCAAAACCAAACAAAAGTGCTACTTACAAATATTCCACCCCAGAATGGATATCCTCCAAAGACAGTCAAAGGGAAATAATCTATATCCCAGCCGCAAAAAATCGTCATGACACCCCCAAAGCCAACATGTATCAATCCAATTATGATCTGGATTGCCTGTGGGGAACAATATGACAAGGAAGGTAAGAAAGTCCCCTGAGGCCTACTTTATAGATGACAAGTAGGGTATCCACAGAGGCTTGCAAGAGAGAGCAAATCCTACTGGCTCCTCCACTGACAGCTCCTGCCCCCATATGCTCTGCAGATTGCTAGCCAGGTGATCAGCCTCATGAGCTGGCCAATGGCATCTTTTGTTTGGGCCTGGTTTGGGGGAAGACCTGCTTATAGCCCTAAGCCACTACACTCCAGGTGATGGGGAGGGCATGTGGAGCTGAAAGTGTGCACTTTAAGCCCCAAGCCACACTACCAACCGGCTTAGATTAGCTCTTTCCCCCAGTATTTCCATCATTGCCTCTTCCATCTCAGTGATGCCTCCACTCACCCTGGAAGTCCCTGTCCCCCACAACAGCTCCATCTACCCCCCCACCTCCACATTGCCTCCAGCTCCATCCCCCATGGTCCCCTAAGCCTCCACATCCATCACCCTTCCCCTGGTGACTCCCCCCCCACCTTAACTTTATGGCCCAAGATATCGCTTGTCTGGATTTTGGGTGTCTTTAACCACCAGTTTTTATTTTTAAAACTTTTCAGATTTTTCTTCAAACATAGGAATTCCCCAAAGTTCGCAGAAACATCTCCCCTATCCATGTCTGATCCCAGGGACCAAGTTCTAAATTAGGTACAATGAATTCATATCAGAATTTGAACCGTCTTTCTAATATTTTGTTGGCTTTATTTTCGAACCACTCTGTTGGGATACTTAAATGTGGTGACTGGAGCATTGAGTGGGCAAGGCAGATGTTTCCACAAACTTGAAAAGGGCCCAAGGTTTGCAGAAAAATGTGAAATCTAAAAAAACCCCCAACCATGGGGGGGGTTGTTAAGTTTTAAGTAATGAATTCCCTCAGTGGTTATTGCTAGGCAACCACCGTGTTCCAAGGCTTGGTTCTGTCACTAAAAGCAAAAGGGAGTCCATGGGGGGGGGGGCTTCCATGGCTTACCTCATTTCTCCGTGGCCGGGGACAGAGGGTGGCGCCGGGAGGGAAGGTGTCCTCCAGATACCCACAAATGTGTGGAGGCCCTCAGGGGGCACAGTATTTGACATCTGTATGCACCCCCTCGCCCAACTGGCATGGAGTTTTGGGCTTAGGTGTGTCACCAGTCACTGATGTCACCCCGCTGTATCTGTTATTGGATGGCCACCCGGATTCTGCCCCACAAAATCTGGCTGTGGGTTTACAGGCCGTGGTGGGGTGGATAAAAAAGAGCAGACTGAGGCTGAACACCAGCACAGTTCGTCAAGAGTTTGGGTGTGATTTTGGATGCCTCCTTGAATACGGAGGCCCGAGTCATGCATATTGCCAGGCTGGTGTTTTTCCATCTGCATCAGGCTTGGCAACTGGCCCCTTTCCTGTCCAGTACAGTAATCCACGTAATGGTCATAATTTAAATTCCAGTGCTGTGAATTGTCTAATTTGTATATTGTTTAAATTTAAATTGTAATGGCCAGTGGCTACACAATAAATTTTACTACTACTACTACTACTACTGATGTAATGGTCACCTCCAGGTTAGACTGCTGTGACTGACTCTAGGCTGGCCTGCTCTTGAGACTGAGCCAGAAACTCCAGCTGATTCAGGATGCGGTGGCACACGTCCTGGCGGGAATGTCCCAGATGGCCCAGATACAACCTGTGCTGTGCCAGCTACACGGGCTTCCAGTGGAGTACCAAGTCAAGTTCAAGGTTTTGGTGTTGACCTTTAAGGCCTTGAGCAGCCAGGGACCGACCTATCTGCAGGACCGTCTCCTCCAGTATGTCCTCAGGAGAGCACGACACTCCTTGGATAGCAACCTGCCGGTGAGCCCTGATACCACAGACATCCGGCTGTCCTCGACCAGGGCCGGGGCCTTTTCAGCCCTGGCCCCCACCTGGTGGAACTCTCTGCCAGTCACAGTCTTAAACACAGAAGCATTACAAAGCTGGTGTGGCCTCTCTGCCAGACACCACCAGGGCCCTGCAGGGCCTCATGCAATCCCACAGGGCCTGTAAGGCAGAGACATTCCGCCAGGCCTTTGGTTGGGGACAGTGACAGCTTCCGTCTTGGCTGGCACCCTCCTCCTCCTCCTCCTCCGAACGCCTTTCCCTTTAGATTGTTTTAAGATTGTTTTATTCCTCCTCCCCATACCCATGAGGTGGCCGCAGTCTGGAACTGGGAAGAAATTCTAATTTCACCACTTGATCTTTTTAGATTGCTAGATTAGCATTATTTATGTACTTATTTTATGTTTTAATGTTTTTACTGTGTGTTGTATATCGCCCAGGGATTGGGCAATTCATAAGTTTGATAATAAATAAAAATAAGGAGGGAGGGGGCAGAGCCCTTTCCCAGCTTATTTTGGCCTTTGAGGGCAGGCACCTTGGGGCCAAGCATGACTAGGGTTACCAGATCCAGGATGGGAAATTCCTAGAGATTTTGTGGTGCAGTCTGAGGAGGACAGGGTTTGGGGAGGGGAGGGGCCTTAGCTGAATATAATCCCATAGAATCCACCCTCCAAAACAGTTATTTTCTCCATGGGGACAGATCTCTATCCTCTGGAGTTCAGTTGTAATTCTGGGAAATCTCCAGGTCCCACCTGAAGATTGGCAACCCTGGGCCTGGAAGCAACCTCTTGGTGACTTGATATCATCTGACTTCCATGACTTCATGCCTGCTTGCTACTGTTCTACAGCAGCCACACTATGAAAGCCAGTGTGCGGTAGCAGTTAGTGCTTCAGAGCAGGGTCTGGGAGACCCAGGTTCAAACTCCCATGTTGCTGTGGAAGCTCACTAGGTGATTTTGAACCAGTCACATACTTTCAGCCTAACCTACCTCACAGGGCTGTTGTGTGGATAAAACAGAGAAGGGAAGAATATTTTAAGCCACTTTGGTCCCCACTGGAGAAAAGGGTGCCGTATAAATGAAGTAAATAAATAATAAATATAGCTGAAGATGGGAGGCGGATAAGAAGTCGGCTGGTGAATGGCCAAGAAGGAGAGAATGAGGCAGGGAAAGGGAAGAGGATATGGGGGCTGCCAGGAGAGCAGAAAGTGGAGGAGGAAGATACAGGGAAAAGTGAGGTGCCACCCCACAAGTTCTTCAGGGTACCCTGCCATGCAAGTGGGCCTGGCCTAGTGGACAGCTTCACTAGGGTCGCCACAACTCCAGTCCAGCCAGGGGATACCTTGATTTGCTGGGCTTCTTCCCAGCACCAGTCAGCTGGCCGGCAGGAGAAGCCCCACTCCCAAAACAGGGACATTGCACGGTGACATCCCTGCCATAATGGTGTCACACGTGAGTGATGTCGTCACGCCAGGGACGTTGCCATGTGACCAGTGGTCATTTCCTACAGGAGCAAAGCTCCGGAAGTAAAGAGCCCAGGGGGCGGGGACATGCAACAAGCCCCGCCCCCCTCTCCCAGCAGCCCCAGGCCACAAAGAGCAAGAAGCAGCCAGGTAAGTTGCAGAACCCCCCACCCCCATAGCAATCCAAAACAGTCCAGTGGAGCCTGAGCGGTGGGTGTTGCCTTCTGACACACTTCCGGTGATGCCAGGGGGCATGGCATATGCAAATAAGTTATGCTAATGAGGTATGCTAATGAGCTCCTGCACCTCTTTTTGTACAAAATGACCCCTGCATGTGACACTCTGGTTTAAGGGCAAAGAAGGCCAAACCTTAAACCAGCAGTGTGATGACATCATTTGCATGTGACACCATCACGTCGGGGATGTAGTGCTACAACATCCCTGCTTGGGAGCGGAGCCCCCGCTCCCGGATCACTTCCCCCCTGCTGGCGCCTCAAGGTTGCCTAGCAACCCTAAGCATCATACAACTGGGCCACAGTTTTCTTAGGCAGAGGTTGCCAGGCCAGGGGCGGGGGAGGAGAGGGAAGGCTGTAGACAGTGAGATTAGATAAAAGTAGGTTCACTGTTGGGTAGGAAGGAGATAGGGTTGCCAACTCCAGATTAGGAAATTCCCAGAGATTTGTGGGGTGGGGTCTGGGGAGGGTTTGAGGATGGGAGGACCTCAGAGGGGTATAATGCCATGGACTCCACCATCCAAAGCAGCCATTTCCTCCATGGGAACTAGGGTTGCCAACCTCATTGTAGGGATAGAGATCATCCAGAGTTACAACTGCTCTCCAGATGACAGAGATCAGTTCCCCTGGAGAAAATGGCTGCTTTGGAGGGTGGACTGTATGGCATTAAATCTTGCTGAGGCATCTCCCCTTCCCAAACCTCTGTCCTCCTCTGACTCCACCATAAAATCTCCAGGAATTTCCCAGCCTGGAGCTGGCAACCACAAGGAGAAATTGTGATTCCAGGAGATCTTGATGCCCCTGGAAGTTGGCAACCCTAGGATAGCAGGAAGCAGGAAAAAGGGAAAGGCTAGGGGAGCTTTCAGTAAAGAGAAAGAGGAAATGGTGGGGGATTGAGATTTCTTCAGCAAATTCTGTGGGTTCCCAAAAGCCATTGGAATCAGCATGATTTAGAACATGATCAGAAACAATGTGTACTTACGGACAATGACTTGGTCTCTGTTTTGATGAATTTCTCAAACCTGAACATTGGAGGCTTTTGCTGAAGCTGGTAGGGGTTTCCAAGTTGCCATCCTGCTAATTGTACCATTTCTCCTGGTTGGATAACAGTGCCAGCAGTTATTTGTCTTGCCTGGGCTAGACTGAGACCATTTGGGGGAATGATCACTCTTGTTCCGTTAGCCATTCTTTCTGGATCTGTTGTTATAACTAAACTGCCTGTGAAAATAAAAGAAAAACTCTCCCTCAGATTAAAACAAATACTAGAAATGTTCCCGTACAGACACACTTACTAAAATCTTAAATGGAGCCCTAAAATTTGGCTCCTTGTCAGAAGTTTGACTCATGGTGAGGGATGCGCACAGATAACATTTTTGTTATAATTTCAAATCTGGGAATTTTTGATGTGTGTGTGTGGGTGTTATAATTTCAAATCTGGGAATTTTTGGTGTGTGTGTGGGGTGTTATGTATTGAAAATGATGTTATGCTTGAGTTCTAAACAGGTTTGTAAATAAACCAATCAGAGCTGTGCAATGTTCTGGAGGGAAGCACTCTAATTGGACCTTATCTGTAAATAGTTATTGGTTGTTAGCTGACATGTGGGCATGGCCTCCCATGCCCAGACTGTTTAAAAGAGAGCCTGTTGCTTTATGTTTTTGTCTCATTTTGATTTCTTCTGAGTTCGTTAATAAAACTGATTCACTGTTCACTAGCTGTGTTGAGTCTCGTACTTAACAGTTGGTGATGAGGATGGGATTCTAGAGTGGGTAGGCAGCCGCGCTGAACCGATGCCAGAACGGCGGACGACTGAGAAGCCCCTGAAGGTCCCAGGGCAGAAGAACAAGACCCGGCTGATCAAGCGGCTGCAGCACTAGTAGCAGTGCTCGCACTCCAAACAGTGATGGCCGTCAACCCGCAGTTCGAAGCGTTTGAACCAGACCTCAAGGACTGGGACTCCTATCTGGCCAGGTTCTAGTTCCACCTCCAGGCGAACAAGGTCGATGATGAAGACCAACAGAAGGCGACGCTCCTCAGTTCCTGTGGAAGAGCAGTATTCAACGTCGCTCAGTCCCTGGTGGCGCCCGCTGAAATCAAGGACGTGTCCCTGGCTGACCTGAAGCTGAAGGGACATTTTGCGCCGCAACCATCGCAGATCGCTAGTCAGCACACGTTCTATAAACGGTCTCAGGCGGCCAATGAGACGATAGCTGAATACGTGTCGGCATTAAGGAAGGCTGTATGCCCGTGCAACTTCTCTGACCTGGAAGAAGCGCTCCTTGACCAGCTCGTCTGTGGCATGAAGGACGAGAAGCTGCAGCAGTGGCTGTTTGCCAGGCAAGCCCTCACCTATGCTGTGGCCTACTCAGAAGCGGTAGTCGCTGAGGCCATGGAGAAGGCAACACAAGAAGTGCATCAGAATCTGACCCCAAGCCAACAGGGGGCCAGCAAGTCAGTGCACCATGAATCAAGTGAGTCCGAAGGTGAGCGTGATGACGTCAACCACTCTCGAGCTCTGAGGGCCAAGCGGACCCCAGTGAAAACCACTCCAAGGCAGACCTGTGCCAGATGCGGCAGAGACCACGAGCGGGATCGCTGCTGGGCGAAGGACATCGTTTGCCGATCCTGTAACAAGCGGGACCATTTGGCCAAGGTCTGCAGGTCAAGAAAGAAGAGGACACCACCGTTGTCTCCTCGTGCACGTCCCCAGGTTCGCAACCAGGACAACGCAAGGTCTACAGATTGCCATCTGACCAACTGCTATTCCTGCCCATCGACCATCCTAAAGACCGGATCACGATCTAGGAAGAAGATCCACGTCACCGCCCTACTGAATGGCGTACCGTGTGAGATGGAGGTCGACTCGGGATCAGCCATAACAGTCATCTCATCAGAAACATTGCAGCATTTGTTCCCGCGTTGGAGTTGTCGGCGTTTGAAGCCGAGCAGCATTCACGTCTCCAATTTTCAGGGGAGACGCATTCCTGTGGCTGGGGAAGCCATGTTTGAGGTACAGTTTAAGAGGTTCTGAGAGTCACTGAGCCTCCTTGTTGCCGAGGGGCGCTGAGCCAGCCTTTTGGGGTTGGACTGGTTCGAGGCCCTCGGAATTACTATTAGTGGAATTAACCAGGTCAACACAAATAAATTGAATGCACTGTACACTGTATAGAGGAATGTTTAGAGGGCCGCCGGTAACCTTTGAGTTGGATCCTTCTGTAGTGCCTATACAGCTAAATTATCAGAAGGTGCCCCTTTCCATGAAACTACGTATTGAGGCCGAGTTAGACAAACTTGTGGCCCAAGGTGTGTTAGAACCGGTATCACATGAGAGATGGTAGACCCCTATTGTGACACCTATTAAGCCTGACGGGTCAGTGAGAATCTGTGCTGATTATAAGTGCACAATAAACAAGGCAACACTTATATCCCGTTCCAGTTATTAGCCATGTGCTAGTGTCTTTGGGAGAAGGTAAAGTCTTTGCCAAGTTAGATTTGTCTCAGGCTTACCAACGACTTCCTGTAGACCCCCAAGCCGCTATAGCACAAAGAATCGTCATGCACAGGGGTGCGTTTAAAGTGAACAAGTTGCAATTTGGGGTAAATGTTGCCCCAGGTATTTTCCAAGGCCTGATGGAGGGATTATTGAGGGACTTGCCTGGGGTAGTCCCGTATTCTGACGATGTGTTAATGGCTGGAAAAAATGAAGACGAACTGTCGGAACGCGTCAGGGCTGTGTTGGGCTGTTTCCAAGTGGCAGGGTTAAAAATAAAGAAATTGAAGTGCCACTTGGGAGTGCCCAAGGGGGAATTTTTGGGGTTCCTAATTGATGCATATGGTGTAAACCCTACAACAGGTAAGGTGCAGGCTATCCGAAACGCCCCAAGACCGGAGTCCAAGAAAGAACTACAGTCCTTCTTGGGCATCTTGAATTTTTACCACACATTCCTGCCACATAAGGCATCTATTGCAGAACCCTAACATAAGCTGCTTATTAAGGGGGCTAAGTGGGAGTGGGGCCCACAGCACGACCATGCTTTCATCTGACGCTGTACTGACGCACTATGATGAAGCTAAGCAGCTGGTGTTGGCTGTGGACACTTCTCCTTATGAAGTGGGGGCTGTGTTGAGCCATGTGATGGCTGACGGCAGAGAAGCGCCCATCGCGTATTACTCTTGGACGCTCACGCGGCCGAGAGGACTTATGCGCAAATAGACAAAGAGGGCTGACAGCTGGAGGGCCCTTTAAATTTTACAGTGGGGAGGGAGAGGGGTGGCTGTGGGTGCATGAAGCCCTGCTGGCTGGAAGCACTTAAAGGGTCCCGCTCTCCAAGCGGCAATACTGCTTGGAGATCAGGCGTAGGGCCCCACTGGCTGGAAGTGCTTAAAGCAGGGATGTCAAACATGCAGCCCGGAGGCCGATCAGGCCCCAGAGGAACTGGCTGTCTTCTGCTTCTTCTTCCAGTTCTGCTGCTGTTGCATCATCGTAGGTTTGCAGCCTACAGATACACACCTGAACAGCATACTCAAGACTGCAAAAGCACAGACATTTTGATGCAATAATTCAGAGCAAGAGGTGTCAGTTATCAGATACTGTTAAATAAAATATTGCAAGAGTGCTAATTTTTAAGCATGTTTTTATTTTACGTAAAAAAAACCCCTTTGTGTTTGTGTCCTTTATAAAGTTTATATCTCTGCTTCCTGGCATTACATTTTATAACACAGATGACCCAGCCCAACAAGGTCTCATTTATGTCAGATCTGGCCCTCATAACAAATGGGCTCAACACCCCTGGCTTAAAGGGTCCCTTTCAGTGCTTCCAGCTGGTGGGGACTGGCCCTGCATGCCTGAACTCCAAGTGGCATTGCTTGCAAAATTTAAATGACCCTCCACCAGATCCTCAGGCCCTTTAAATCTTGCAGGAGGTTAGGGAGAGGTGTGACCATGGGCGATTGTTCTTGGGGGTGGGGCTTGGAGCAGGATGTCTCCAATGTGATGCCATCATGTTGGGGATGCCCTGCCCCCTCTGGGAATGCCCCCCAAAGTCCCCCACTGGGGACAAAATTGGACCTGCCATTATGCACCATGGGGGACGTTTCAGGGGGGTTGGAGTGGCTGTTTTTCAACCAATGACACCAAAATTACAGCAGAGTGCATGCTGCTTGTCTATTAAAACACCAAGTTTCAAGCAAATTGGATCAAGGGGACAAATTCCACAGGCCCCTGAAAAAGCTGCCCTAGCTCTCTATTTACTCAGACATACAAGAACAAAAAGTCTCCACCCTCCAAAGGAGAGAGTGAAAGAGAACTGTGTCTCTCTGTGGCTTGTCTCCAAAGGTAATTGGCTGGAAGGATCTGTGTGCCTCCCTTGCAAGGATCTGATTGGAAGGGAGAAATTCCATTACTTGATAAATCAGTAGAATCAAGGGAAAACATAAGCAGAACCCAAACTTGAGAACAACATGGATCTCTTTGGGAAGGGTAGTTTCATTTCACTAAGAATCCCGGATTCCTAATACCATTCTGCAAAATCATGGTAATGACCCCAAACAGTGATTTCATTGTATATGTCTGGCTTGGGAATTTCATTATACATGAATAATTGCAAAAACACAGTTAAGGTTAGCATAGGAGTTACCTGATGTATGGACAGATGAGTCTATTTTCTTCTTATTGTCTTGTGGCTCTTAGCCTAGGGACTCTTAGACTAGGGGCTCTGTAAGAATCCCAAGAAGAGCCAGAAAGCCAAGGCCCTAGGCTCATTGTCTTCCCCGTAAGGTAAGTTGACTTTGACAAGAAAAACTACATAAATACAAAGGGCTTGGATCATATTTACTTATAAAAGGGGGATCATATTAATTATTTTAAAGGAATTATGAAGCCAGAAT